TACCTCTTAAACCATAGACAACCTTCAACTCATTCATAGTTCAACATATATTAATTTGGGCAGCACCAAACCCTAACCAATTCATACTTTAAACTCCATCAAAACTACAATTTAGACCATCAAACTACTAGGCAACAATAATCAGGAGAGAAATCCAAGCTTTTACCTTAATTTGGCACTTGATTTGACCTAAATATAGCTTGATCCTCTTCTCCTCTTCTTCCTCCCTTGTTGGCTGAAATGTTCTCTCTCTCACACCCTTGGATTTGACTGAAAAATGTGACATGGCGATCATATATATAAGAGGGTTAAATCTTATCCTTAGGCAAATATCTTTTTTTACCTCATAATTTCACCTTAACACTTGGCAAGGTCTTGACTCCTCTTCCTCCATGACTTAACCACTTAGCCCCTCTTATGTGTCCCCTTATTAAATGCAAGAAGACACCTCACATGTACACCTAATGTTACACATGCACAAATTGTTATATTTTATTGCATAATTCATATTTTCCAAGTTTATCTTTTAATAATTTGTATTATTCCACTTAGGTCCTTCCCCCCTCTATTTGGCACCATTTTCTTAGAAAATTAGAGAGAAATTTTGTCTCACTAAGCTTATACTCGTCACACTGTGTAATCTCCTATTATTAGTTAAATTTTTTTTGGATTCTCTTAAATCCACTACTTCCAAAACCCCATCTCCTTGCGTCAATAGCTTCCTTTTAATAAGAAGAGATCCCTCAAATTTTCTCAGAATTTATTTCAACTCCTAACTCTTTAAATTAAAATTTACCCAAAATCAGCCTTTTACCAATAGAAATTAAGTTTTAAATATTTTTAAAGCTATCCTCTGCACTTTCTAAGACTTGAAACAATTTTAAAATTCATGATAATTCCCCAAATAATTTTTCTAAATTTTTCATGAATTATTGAGGCTTCTAAGCATTTTAAATAATTCAATTTGGCTAATTTTTTCTTAGGGAAAATGACCAGAAAATGAGTATTGAAATTTGAAATGACAAAATGGGCATACAAATAACTGAAATGACCAAATGGGCATGATGTATCAATATGGAATTTTGTCAAGGATAGAAAGACTAAAATGCCCCTGAACCTCTCTAAAGATATGAACTGAAAGAAAACACATAATATACCAGAAGAGAGAGAGAGAGTTGAGAAGACGAAGCTGGAGCAACAGTCGAAATTTGGAAAGAGGAAAAAGGTAAGCAAGTTTTCTGTTAAAATGCTAGTATTGCCTGATTTCTTGACTTGCTTTGTTGCTACATGCTCGAATGGGGATGGGCTTGTGAGTGTAGAGGGTTTAGATGAAAAATTTGACCAGGATGAGAGAGTGACGTGTCGGAAATGGAAAAATAGTGGCAAACAGTAAGTATGAGGTGGTCAGTGTTGTTAAATTCATTAGTGAAATTGTAAAATCCTATATTTAAGTTGTCAATAGAGTAAGTGGGTATGTGTGTTTTTTGGGTGTTTTGAAAGGTAAATGAAATTGATTATTGGGGAATTAAAACATGGATTTATGCTTTTTTGTTGCAGGTTAGTAAGTTTTGATGACATTTAACATTGGGTTTAACATTGAGGAGTAATTTTTTTGGTGTGAATAGAATAACTTTTGAACCCTTAAATTTTTTGGGGAGAATAGTTGATAGGTAGGTTATCCTTTTTGTAAATGATGTTAACTGGGTAGGATATGTTTTGTAATCTGAATGACAAGAAAACATTAGATGGTGGTTTAATTTTAATTTTAATGTCATTTGAATACAAGTTATGTAGCTTCTGTCATATGCGTACTGGTTTTCGGTAATATTATCACTTCAGTAGTCAATTTCATTATACATGAGTAAAGTTTGAATGTTAATGTAAACATATTATGATGTTCTTCAGGTGTACTTGTATATTATTTTGTCAGCACATTTTACCATTTGTTTAATTCCTTCAAGGGAGATGGTCGAAGTTGCCAATGGGCATGACCGGAGTGATTAATTTGATTGCAAATGATGTTATTCACATTACAGATATTGTTATTATCATTATCGGGGTAGTAAAATTGGCTGAAAATAGATGTTACTTGGGTTTGAAAGAAATGAGTTACAAATGGCAATAGCGAGATAGTAACTCTTATTACAAAAGTTGTAATTCACATTACAAATGTTGTCATTATCATTATCAGGATAGCGAAATTGGCTCCGAATACATGTTAAGTTCATTTCACATTAGCCAGTTGCAAATGGCAATAGCGAAATCGTAACTCTCATTACCAAAGTTGTAATTCATATTACAAATGTTGTCATTATCATTATCGGGCTAGTGAAATTAGCTCCAAATACATATTACTTGAGTTTGAAATAAACGAGTTGCAAATGGCAATAGCGAGATGATAACTCTCACTACAAAAATTGTAATTCATACTACAAATGTTATCATTATCATTACCGAAGTAGTGAAATTGGATCCAAATACATGTTACTTGGGTTTGAAATAAACAAGTTGCAAATGGCAATACGGAAGTGGTCACTTTCATTACGAATGTTGTTAATCTCATTACGTGTGTAGTGAAATTTGGGTCCAAGTAGATGTAATTTGGGGTACAAATAATTGAGTTGCAAATGCCATTACAGAAGTTACAACTTTCATTATACATGCTGTAATTATCATTACTTGTTTAGTGAAATTATCCCAAAAAAGATTTAAATTAAGCCAACAAATATCATAACTTACAACCTACAACCATAAGTCAAGTATTTTGACAATATCTGGACACTGCTTTCATAAGTACTATATGTTTAATTTACATAATCTTTACTACTATCAAAGATGCTGTCTTTTGGTTAGTGTGGTGGCTTCATTTGATGAAAGCAAGCTCAATGCTTCGTCACGTCTTGAATTAAGCTCATGATTCACTAACCACCACATGAATGCATAATTCAGTAACTTGAAACTGATTTTTCAGCTTCTACTTTGAGCTCACAGGCTATAAAACAATCTGATTCAAACAGCACAATCATAATTTAGCACTTAGAGACATAAATCATTATATCCAAATCAATTTTTAATCTCGAACTCTTCAATCCTCAAACCAGCAGATTAAAAAAAAAAAGAAAGGAAAATCAGTTTTATGCCTCGATACTTTAATTCCACAAGCATCAATTCACAAGCAATAACCCACATACTCATATATATACAAATATTTTGCAAGTATTGAATCAGCTTTTAACCTTAAAAACATTTCAACTAGCAGTAATATATAATTTGTAAATTATTTCCACTTTCAGAACATGCTAATATATAATTCAGATTCATTAAATAGTCTCTGAACACCATTATAACCTCAAGCATCAATAGCCCTAGCAACAATGAACACACACACATGCTTGTAAGATGATATGCCATAGCCACTCACTACCCCGCTAATGATAATAACAACATTTGTAATGTGAATAACAATATTTGTAATCAAATTAATCACTTTGGTCATGCCCATTGGCAACTTCGACCATCTCCCTTAGAGGAATTAAACAAACGGTAAAATGTGTTGACAAAATAGCATGCAAGTACACCTGAAGAACATTATAATATGTTTACATTAACATTCAGACTTTACTACATGTATAATGGAATTGACTACTGAAGTGATAATATTTACCGAAAACCAGTACGCCCATGACAGAAGTTACATAATTTATATTCAAATGACAAGTTAACATTAAGATTAAACTGCCACCTAATGTTTTCTTGTCATTCAGATTACAAAACATATCCTACCCAGTTAACATCATTTACAAAAATGATAACCTACCTTTAACTATTCTCCCAAAAAAAATTAAGGGTTCAAAAGTTATTCTATTCACACCAAAAAAATTACTCCTCAATGTTAGACCCAATGTTAGATGTCATAAAAGCTTACTAGCCTGTAACAAAGAAGCATAAATCAATGTTTTAGTTCCCCAATAATCAATTTCATTTACCTTTCAAAACACCCAAAAAACACACATACCCACTTACTCCATTGACAACTTAAATATAGGATTTTACAATTTCACTAATGAATTTAACAACACTGACCACCTCATACTTACTGTTTGCCACTATTTTTCCATTTCCGACGCGTCACTCTCTCATCCTGATCAAATTCTTCATCTAAACCCTCTACACTCACAAGCCCATCCCCATTCGAGCATGTAGCAACAAAGCGAGTCAAGAAATCAGGCGATACTAGCATTTTAACAGAAAAATTGCTTACCTTTTTCCTCTTTCCAAATTTCAACTGCTGCTCCAGCTTCGTCTTCTCAACTCTCTCTCTTCTGGTATATTATGTGTTTTCTTTCAATTCATATTTTCAGAGAGGTTCATGGGCATTTTAGTCTTTTTACTGAATTAACAAAATTGTAGATTGATACCTCGTGCCCATTTAGTCATTTCAGTTATTTGTATGCCCATTTTGTCATTTCAAATTTCAACAGTCTTTTTTTTTTGTCATTTTCCCTTTTTCTTAATAGCCAAAATTCCAAGGAAATACTGAAAATTTCAAAATACATTATTTTTATTTCATTTTTAGTTTCTAGGCCCCAAATACTGTTCCTTGCCCCTTCTTCTATCTTTTAATGATTTTTTGAGAATGTTTGGGATTTCCAGATGTACTAATCAATATGATTGACAGTCATATCTTGGATCTGATCTCAGTTCAAAAGTTATTCAGTCTAAGTTTCCACTGTTCTACTTAGCCTTTAATCAATTCTAATTTTCTTATTTTCATAATTAAAATTAACAAGGTATAACAGTTAGCATGATCTATTTATCTTTTTAAAATTTAATGTGTATCTTTCTGTCATGTTCTCAAGTGTTTATTAACCAAAAATAAATTTTAAGGGTTTGATTATAATTTTAAATATAAAAATTAACTTGAGAATTAAATGGAAAATGGGAATGAGGAGTACATGTCCAACGTTTCCAAATTGAAATCGAAAGAGAAACAAAACTGAAACCTGGGAACGAAGCCGGAGAAATTCTATTCATAGGCAACGTTAAAATCCGACGAACAGAGATAGTTGGACGCAGAGAGAGAGTGTGTGTGAGAGAATAAAGGGAGGAAGAGAGTGAAAGGTGCCTAGCTGGTTGCTATGACGGAGATATTCCTTTGGCTTTTGACATTTTTCCTGATTCTGGCTTTGCTTTGTCTCCTCGGTTATCAGGTATATCTCAATCAGCGTTCTGAATTCCCTTTGTTTTATGTAACTCCCTGACCAACGATATAATCCTAAACTCTGATTCCCTTAAATTTTCTCTTGTATGCTCTTGGCTTTTCATTCTCTATTACTTTGTACTTTCTTTTCCCAATCCGGTTGTGATTGTTGCAGTTCAAAAATTTCTAGGAGAAAATACCTTCTTAACATGGAGGAAACCTTAACATGGGTAGAAGGATTTAAATTTTGATCTTAATTGTAGAAAATCCGCTTCGTAATTGAGTAATTTACCGCACTATACAACACCACTTTCAAATTTCTTCTTTCTTAATTTGTACATCCTTTTTCCAATCACGCATTTGTTACAGTTCATTTAGTTTCTCAAAAAAAGAAGCCTCTTCAGACGGATAAACTCGTATAAAAACACGTAAAAGGACATAAGTTATAGATCTCACTTGTAGAAAATTCACTTAATCGATCACAGATCTACTGTCTCTACCTTAGATTCTTTTGTCAGTTAATTGTCAAAGATGCTTCTTTTTCTTCTATGTGACTATTCTTGCATGGTGTATGCGCATATATGAATAACTATGACAACGTTGTTCTTTATTCAAATCTCTAGAAACTTTCACGTCAAAAGAAAATATTTTCTTGTCCTTTAATTTTCTTTACCAGTTATCATGCAACTCAAGCTGATAATATTTTTTCATCTTAAGTTCTTTTGCTTTATGCATATTCATGTGGATTGCGTATGCATGAATTGACTTAATGTCAGCACCTATCTTCTTTAATTTAAACTGTTGAAAGTCTCCTGTTATAAGCTTGAGATTTATGGTTTCTGCGGATGCTCTTATAATTATAAACTTGGGACAACACTAGATATTGTCAGCTTTAGATAAGTGCTTCTAATTTTATATTCCATATATAATTGGAGGAGACAACCCCCCCTTCAAACAAAACAAAAGAACTTGGCCTATGAAGTTTAACATTCCAGTGCTTTTTTCTTGGCAGCTTATATTGTTAGTGGATCTAGAGTTTGATTATATCAACCCTTATGATTCAGCTTCAAGGATAAACTGGGTTGTCTTGCCAGAGTTTATCGTCCAAGGAGTCCTATGCTTCATCCTTCTTGTAACAGGGAACTGGTTTATGTTCTTGATGTCTCTCCCTTATCTGTATTACAATGTAAAATTGTAAGTTTTTCTTCCTTTTGCTATACCAATCCTGTCAGTTCTAATTATTTAATTTCACATAAATACATGGTGAACAACTTTTTGTTTTGCTATATATAAATCTTAGTGGATGTCATAAGGAAATGTATTCCCAGACATTAGACAATTTGATAATTTTAAACTAGCTTCATTAAGGTCTTTGCTGTTAAGCTTAAATTTAAATATTGCATGGAGGTATTGTGTGTAGCAATTAAGTTTTAATTGACTCATTTACACTGTAGGAGCTTTTACACAAATCGAGTGCTCCATAACTTTCCATGATACAGTTCTATGATTGCAACAGACACTATAGGTTGAATGTGTAAGGAATAAAAAAGAGAAGAAATTTTGAAGAAACTACTTACCCTTGGAACTTTCAGATATGGTCATTGTGCACGGACCCTAAAACACAATTCCTAAGATGAAAGGACTAAAGAGCTTTCATTTTTCTTTCTTTCTTTCTTTTTGTGTGTGTGTGTGTGTGTGTGTGAAATTACAGAACATTTAAAGGGTCTGTATGTGAGGTTCCAGTTGAGGCAGCTGGGACAAAGAGTCTTGTTTTCAAGTGGAAGGAGTTTAAATAAGATGTTCTTCATCTTGTTCTTCTTTGTAGAGGGTGTTGGCAGGAGATGGCAATTTCCATTCAGCTGATATAAGGTTAGGCTTTATAAATAATATGTGGTTTTATGTAATAGAAAGCATGGGAGTTTCTGTACTGACTTAGGAATTGGACAGGTTGGTTACTTGAATCGAAGTGTTATGAATGGATTCTGGGACCCAAACTGTGATGGGTGGTTAGATGGCTTGTAATGGAAGAGATTTTAAGGTTTGAATGGTGCAGTAGAAGATATTAACTAGGGATAAAACTATGGAAGAAAAGAGTTTGGAGAGATTGTTGAATTGTTGTGGTCAGTGCCCAACATTGTAATTGTGTAAAAATGAAGGGAGTGATATAGTAAAAGAATATGCACCATGGTCGAAAGAGCAATATAATCTATAACTGACCAAATTTCCTGCTTGTATTATAAGAGATAGATGTGGCTTGGGGTTTGTTAAAGTATTGCTTTTTATTCATGGTCAAGGGTGGTTGCTACTTTGCTAGAGTTATACTAACAATATTGGGTTCTTAGATATGGTGACTGATTTTAGATATAACCTTAAAATCATTCGGAAGACACTTTGGACTTAGACCATTCTCATAGTGAATCTCCTTTGAATACTGTCTTGTGTGATATTCAAAAACTATGAGGCTTATTCTGACGATGCAAATATACAAAGAACAATGAAGTGGTAATAGGGAAGTGAGGGGAAGGGATAGTTAAATTCCATTTCAGAACAATCCCCCGTCCCCCCCCCCCCCCAAAAAAAAAAAAAAAAAAAATCTATAACAATATGGGAACTAAAAGATATGCACAAGAGATTATTTTGGAGGACCTGTAAGATTAGTTGAAAATTATAGATCATTCCTCCCCTTATTGTCGAGCTAAACACACAAGCAAGGGAGAAGACCTTCCCTTTTATTCCACTGTGTCATTCACCATCTACATGGTTCCATTCTGTTTGGTACTTGAAGGAATATAAATAGGAGAAGAACAAAGGGGAGACGAAAATGGGAAGACCTGGTTTAATGATAATTTTCATCCCTTTGTTTGGTGGATTCTTTTCTGCTAAAATCCCTTGAGGGGAACTTGAAATTACAAGGAAGCAGGAGATTGGGAGATTTTGGAAAGTCAGTTGAAAACCTTTCATTGTCATTGTTCCTTCCATATGACTGCTAAACAAAGGAAGGGTTTCAATATGAAACTTGGGCATTCTCGTTAACATCCTATGTCGGATGTACCCTAAAGACTATGAGGAACTTGGGTGGCATACCTTTGAAACATTGTCTCCATTAGATGTTCATTGCTTGAAGTCTTAGGGCCCAGGAATATTTATGGAATTTCTGAAACAGATAAATGACTTGGATATGGATATATGAATTGCTTTTTATGCTTTTTTCCATTCAGATGATGCAGTCAATGATATTGCAATGTGGGATTCCACCGTGACCTATTGGTATTAACATTGTTTTTGCAGCTTATATATTGTTAAATAACCTATCTAAGGATTTGGTTGTTGATGAAACATAATGGTGTTGTGCAATCCATATAGCCAACCTCACCTAATGGGATAAAGCTTGTTGTATTCTGGTTGAACCTGAATGCATAATCAAACCCTGTATTCTGAGCGTTTCAAAAATCTCTCGGAAGTCTTTTTTTTTTTTTTTTTTTTCAGCATAATCTTCTATTGTGTTGACAATGGTATAATAACGTATATTTCTCGATTTATGCGTGTCATCCTTGCACAAGGGCCATGCTAATCTTTTTTGTATCGTTCCAATTTTATCGGATGTCCCCAAAGGGACATATAAAAACGTTTATTCATTTGGTTATACGCTATAAGCAAGAAACTTTACCTGATGTTCAATCTTCTCACTTAAAAAGATATGAAATGCTATACTGAGATTTTTCTAGATCTAAATTTGGGTTATGGAATTTTACAAAAGCTTCTTTTCTTACCTTTGGTTCCAATTATATTAAATTATATGGATTTTAAAATAAAATTTATACCCATCTGTGTCATGCTTTTACTACCACTGTTACTTGGAAAATACAGGATTTCCAATAAGCTCGATTGCCTACTGATGCAAAATTAAAGAGCAAAACGATTCTTTCAATAATTTGATGACACAATCTACAACCGTAATGAATATGTTTTCCAGCTGATTTCTACCGTTAATGAGACTTGGAAGCTTATCTTTAGGTACATGACGAGACAACACTTGGTTGATGTTACTGAAATCTACAATCAGCTTAAGTGGGAGAAAAAGAAGAGATTCATCAAAGTTGGATATCTTATTCTGCTGTTTCTCGTTTCGGTGTTCTGGTATCATGATGAGAAACTCGTTCTTTTGTTAATTCACTTTTATGCTCTTTCAAGATCAAAGTTGGTGAATATCTCTTTTGTCTGAATGTGCTTTAGGCTGGTTTGGAGTATTGCTGATATAGATGATTAACCAGTGGGCCAACTCTCTTGCCATCTGTAAGTTTCCAGTACTCAGTGTGCTTGAACATATCCTTGAAAGTTTCGCAATTTTATGTATATCAGGGTTTAAATGCTTGGAAAGAAGTTTCTGGTGGGGAGGTTTCTTGTGATTGAATCCTTTTCCTGAGTTGGCATAATTTAGAGGATATGAATAACAGTCATCGAGCTTGTTCAAATTTTCCATGAAGAAGTGCAAATTTTCAAGGCAATTCAATTGACATTTTCCTCTTCAAAACTGCTAGTTAGTGCATACACCAGACGTGTGTTTGAGTGGCCATTTTTGTCCTTTGATTGACTTGGATCCAACATTCATCTTCTCTGACCATGAGAAGTTAACGAATTATGAATTCATTGTCTAAAAAATTGCTGTAGAATTTCTCCGCGTCTGGCTGACAAAAAATTGCTATATCTATGATTTTCTTCCTCTATATTAGATATTGGTAGGGCTTTATTAATGCTGATAGGAACTACCAGTCAATTGAAACTTTTGGCTGGGCAAAAGTGCACATTTAGTCTTTTAATTTTACATGTAATTTCATTTTAGTCTCTTAGTTTTTTCAGTTCTCTAATCTTAACATCAATAGTTTCACTAACCAAAAAACAAATACTGCCATTGACATTTTAAAGTTTGATTTTCAAGAATAATAATGATCATCACAAAAGATCATGATTTGATACTAATTGAGTCAAGGTTAAAGAGCTGAAAAATATTTTATAGAAGTACGACATCAAACTAAAGTCTTGTTTAAAGTTGGATCGAATGGTGCACTTTTGTCCTTTTGGTTGTGTTTATTTTAGCTTTGAATTAACAGTCGTCTTTGTTTCCGTGGCTGATGCTCCAGTTGGTTTATTTTTTAGGCCCGCATGCTCATGTCTTTCAACTTAACAGCGGCATTTACAAGACTCTCTGTATTTTATGCTGTGACTTTGGGAAAATGACAGACGTAGACCATGGAGCGATTTTTTCCCCCCCCAATATAAGGAGGGACCTTAATATTTGCGAATGTCGTGTTACTCTTTCTTTTTTTGGGAACAAACTTGTGAAATTTCATGTAAATTTGGGAATGGAAGTTAGAAGTTCTCAAGGTGACTTTTAATTTTTTGGATTAAGGGAGTATTTAGATAAAACCAAATCATGGTTTGAAAAATAGCTTCCGCGAAAAAGTTATTTTTGAGAATAGATTTTGTGAAAAAATAATTCTGATAAAGTGAATGTTTGGATAGTTATTATCAGAAATACTTTTTATATGTGCAAATTACTAAAAAAGACATAAGTTAATATGATAATTACATAAAAGATAGATTCTAAGATGTTTTTATTTGAAATAATAAATTTGTTAATAATATATTTTTTGCCAACATAATAAATAATATATAAAAAATATAATTAGTAAATAATTAATATTTGTATATGTATTTATAAAATCTAAGATTGAATGTGTTTTTAGAAAAATAATTTTTTTTTTTTGCCAATAGAAAAATATTATTTAAAGATTTTAAACATGAATTCTAATAACATTTTTTTAGAACTAGTTTTTTTAACAACATATTACCTCCGATCTTTAATATAAGTGTTCTTTTGATATTCAATTTGGTTCTAAATATAAAATTCTAATGTATTTTGTTTCTCATATTTATCTTTTTTTTTCCGAAACAGTCCTTATAGTAATTGTACATGTTAAATATTTTATTAAATGGTATTTTTAATTAATACACATGATTAGGAAGAGTATTTTAGAAAAGATAACACCTATTTGTTATAAGTAATTAACTTAACTAATTTTCTTAATCTACTCAAATTAGTTAACTAGCTTTTATATTAAGAACTATAGGTGGTATTACAATATAAAATAAAGAACCACGTTTTCAAAAAGCAGTTTTTTTTTTTTGCTTTTCATTAAACTATGATTTAGGTGGGTCAAACCATGGTTTTGAAACCAAATCATGGTTTTATAAAAATATGGGGTGTTTAGTAATGTTTTGGATCAAACCATGATTTAAGCTCTAAAAGTGATTTTGACAAGTATTTAAAATTACTTCATGGTTTGCAATTGTCATTTTCCTTGCAAGATTTGTTTGAAAACCAAAAAAAAAAAATCAAAATTTGAATTACAACGAAAATGTTAGAAATGTCTACAAATATTGTAATACTATCCTCATAGAGACAAATAACTTTGTTAGCATGCCGTTAGTTTTCGACAAGCAAATGGCATCAACAAATTCATGATTGTCATTTACCAAAAAAAAAAAATTCATTACCAGCGTCCGAAAGACTTGGCGGCAGCATGCAAAGTCAAGAGTAGGATGTGCAATATTATTAATCTTTTTTCTTCTCATCAAAAGATTGTGTAAACTTTTTCTAATCAATTTGTTTTTAGATTTAATATTTTATAAAACTATTATTATAATTTCACATTAAAATATATACATAAATTTAGGAAAATTTTCATTTTAAAACCACTGTAGGCAATTAATATCAGTCAACCCCAAAACATTTCAAAACTTTAGTTAACCCCCAGGAATGAAATGAAATTAAAATTTAAGGGTAAAATTATAATAATATTCCTCCTTTTTCTTTTTTTTAAAATAAATATTAATTGTTGTCGGAGCTTTAGCTACCGATGCTGGTCGTCATCAGAAGTCAAAACTCTAGTGGCGATTTTTTTTTTTTTAATAAAATGGTCAAGGAGAGGTTTGAACCCATGACCCCTTGACACACCAAAAATAATGTGACTACCAAGCCAATCAAACCATTTAATTATATAATGCAAAGATATATATATATATATATATATATATATATAACACAAAACAAATTTACAAGTGAATTCAATAATTTACAACAAAAATTTGACGATTTACATATAACATAATAGAATTCACAATCCCAAATACAAATGCTTAGATATGAATGAGAAAGTGAAATTCGAAGATTTACAATAAAAATTCATAGATTTACAGTCCAAATTCAGTAATTGATAAGAAAGACAGGGGAATTCACAATCCCAAATGCAAGTATTTAGGTGTGAATAAGCAAGTGAAATTTGAAGATTTATAACAAAAATTCATGGATTTACAACCCAAATTTGACTATTCACTAGAAGCATAACGCAATTTACAACCCCAAATATAAGTGTTTGAGTGTGAATGAACAAGTGAAATTTAGCAATTTACAATCCAAATTCAGTAATTCATTAGAAACATAAATACTTGTATTTGATGTTGTGAATTCTCTTACCCAAACACTTGCATTTGGGGTTGTAAATTCTATTATCTTACTTTTAAATTGCCAAATTTTTGTTATAAATTGTTGAATTTTACTTATAAATTGTCGAATTTCATTTGTTTATTTACACTTGGACATTTGTATTTGTTTTGTTATATATATTTTTCTTTGTATCATATGACTAAATGGTTTAGTTAGCTTAGCAACGCCTTGCTTTTAGTGTGCTAAGGGGTCATGGGTTCCTTGGCCACCTTATTTGGCAATTACATTGCTTTTAGTGTGTCAAGGGGTCATGGGTTCCTTGGCCACCTTATTTGGCAATTACATTACTTTTAGTGTGCCAAGGGGTCATGGGTTCAAACCCCCTTGGCCACTTGATTGGTTCGGGATGTCGCCTTTTGGGTTAACGAAATTGTGATTGCACCAGATAATGTAGTATAGGGTGCAACCAATCGTTCTTCTCGAGGAGCGCTTTATTGAAAAACAACCTAGTCTAAATTGGTAATAAAAAACATGATGATTTGGGTAAAAAAAAAAGGGATTTTAATTGTTTTAAAGATGGTGTAACTAAATGTAAAGTGCAAAGAAATAAATATTTTTGAGATTTTAAATGAATGAAGAAATGTTTTGGATTAAAGGGAAATTATGGTAAACTAGTCTCTTGATGATGAAAACTCAGCTATCACTGCTCTTAAAATGAATGGGAGTTTTAGAAATCTCTAAGTCTAAAGGGAAACCCCAAGTAATCACTTGAGTCTAATGTCTTAATTAATGAAAACTCACTTTAATCAAAGTTAAACACCTTTTAAAATATTGTTGAAAACCACTTAGAGTGCAAATGAATGGATGATGCAATGCCCTGGGAATGTCAATCGATAATCAAAGAATACCAAGCACACAGATTAATCATCAATAATCACTGATCATTAATTGACCACTAGGATTCCCATTGAAATATTTATATAAATGATCCAACATCAACAACATCCAATCCAAATACATTAAGTAGTTGATCGACGTGCCAGACTATCACCTTTTGGATCATCAAGAAAGAGAGTTGCACCAGATAAAATGCAGTATAGAATGCAACCAATCGTTCTTCTCGAGGAGCTTGTTACTGGAAATCCTAGTCTAAATTGGGTTTCAAAACCATTGTAAAAAGGGGGGGTCTAAATTGGGTTTCAAAGACAAATCTGGTCCAAGGCAATAATGGGAATGTCAACCGGCTGCATGGTCATCAGGAGATGAAGCAGAAGTGCACCTTCTTCAGAAACATAAAAAATGTGGGCCGATGGCATCACATATAAACCATGAAGTTCAGCCAAATCCTGGCTTCATCATTCATGTGCTTGTGCTCAAAAACTTTCCACCCACTCTCCTTTATGGTCCACCCAACATCTCCTGTTCCAATGGTTTGGAAGACCTGTGCCCAGGGGACTTCAGTAAGTCTGATCATCCATCGTTGGTATTCGTAGACAGGGACATCAGGCAAATTGTAGAACTTTTCAACAACCTCCCGAGTTAAGAAACATTCATTGCCTCGAAAGGTGATCCCCCTGTGTCCGTCCATAGCAGCACAAGTGTAAAATTCTCTCACCAATGTCAAATTGGCCTTGTTTCTCTTCTTCATAAGTTCCTGAAGGCCCCTTTGGTTGGCAAGCTCATAGAAATGGTACTGCTGCGTTTGAGGAAAATACTGCTCTTGAACCACCCCTTTGTTGGCAAATAACTCCACCGCTTTCTTCCTTGAAAGTCTGGTCTCTTCACGAGGGCGAAGCTTCTTCTTCGAGCTTGAAGACTCGGGGTTCTTGGTGCGAGGCATCTGGGCGCAGAGAAAACAACCAACAAGCAACCAAAGTAAACATACAAAACAAATAAACTTATGAAAAGAAACTAAAAACTACACTAAGCCCAGAAACCAAGCACTCCCCCACACTAGGCCTACATTTACCCATTGCCAGACTCCCTTAAGCAAAATAGTTGAAGATTTTGAACTAGGACATTTGCATTTTAAAACCATTAGGGAAATCATGAGAAAACCCAAGTATTCATAATTGTCCATTGTCAAAACCTATTTCTTTAAAATCCTTAATATGTAAAGTTGAAAATCCATTGAGAAAAAACAATATGGAAACAGCAGGAGTGAATCAGTGGTTCAAAACCGCCTCTGTGAACTCAGGTCGCGACTTGAGGAGACAGAGGAACATTTTAAAATTTTAGAAAACATCGAGGTCGCGACCTGAAAACAGTAAGGTTGCGACTGGAATAGACAGAGGGAACATTTTGGATTTTGGGAACCAACTAGGTAGCGACCTGAAAAAAGTGAGGTCGCGACCTGAACCCAGAAATTTCGGAAAACACAGCATGAACCAGTTTGCTCAAAAGCCAAATCTTTTTCAGAAAATACAGTCCCAAGCAATCCGAAAATCATTTAAACAATATTTTCAACATCTAGCAATACTCCACTCAACCAAAATCAAAGCCCTAGCAAAACAACACTAACTACCCCTAAAACAAAATGCAAAAAACTAAACTAGGAAAGAATAGAAAAACTGAAAACGAAGAGGGAAGATCAAACAGATCTTGAGAGAGTGGAAGGATGGAAGAATTGAACTCAAGGGTGGAGAGGAGGATTGTTCATGAACTGCAGGAGATGGATTTCATAGTAAAGGCACTCAGAAGTTGCAAAAACGGAAGAATAGAGCAACTGCACTGTTAAGGAAGGAGCAAACTGTTACAAAGAGGCTGAGTGGTTGTGACTTTGGAGGGAATTTGAAAAGCTGCGATTGTTGAAGGCTCTAAGATGGAGAGTCATGACTTCAGATTTCTAGCCGTGGGAGAAGAGTTGAACGCATGGAGGAGGGATGTGGGAAATGAACCAAAG